ATGACTTGGAGATGTTCTGGAGATGATAATGGGATTAGCCAGAATAATCGATTTGCTTTTCTTTAGTCTAATTACCGTTTCCGTTCATGGTTTTTTGAAGCCGCTCAGTGCTGTACGAAGACGGATCCGGAATATGTTTTTTTAGGGGCAGGTCAGTCGCGCGGTTTTTTTGTGGAATTTCGCTGCAAGTGACTGCCGACTTGAAATCTGTAATGAATGACTTGCGGTTCCGGTGAGTACGATGGGGTGCCACGTGGACACTAATAGTTTGTGTTATAAATGTGTGCCACGTGGTGCTACAGGGGGAACAGTTGTGCTAAGCAGTTGGGGTAGTGCAGGTGGTTGGCTGCTGACTCTGGGAACTCGGATCGCTATAACTTGCTGTGACTCACTCTTAATTTCCCTATTCTGATTACTCCTTCCCCTCATAGCGCTGCATGCTTCTTCTTTACGAGACTGATGAGGGTTTTAGAATAGGAATAAGTTTCTGAATTACAATGGCCAGGTGATCTCCTCGGAAGGCGGGTAATCAGGGCTGCCCATTGTGTTGAATAGTGTGTGCCTCTGTGTAGACATTGCAACTGGTTACGACGCAGGGTGTGACACGTGGCACGATTAACGATACTTCGCATGTTTACAGGGACGCTGGACCCGATTTCCAGCAGGTGTTGCTCCCCACCAATAGATGGAGCCTTCCGGAGCGTGCTAGCGGTGTCTGCTCTTACCAGCACCTCTAGCATCTGCTCGGGCTGTTTTTCAAAAAAAAAAAAAAAAAAAAAAAAAAAAAAAAAAAAAAAAAAAGAAACTGCTTTTTAGTGGTAAAGTACGACCAATACCTGGGTGGCGGTTAGGAAACCAAGTATGGTTCTTCTTACTTTTTTTAAGTTTGTTTCTATCCCTACCTCCCCAAAAAATCATCACTAAGTGAGTGAAACAAGGACTTGGGAGAAAGTGATGAGCCTTAAAAAACGAAATGTTACGATCCTGGCTATTTCTGAAGTGCAAATTCACAAGGAAAGACTATGCCACCCAATTTCGAAAGAAATGAAAGCACTTACAAAGAGATGGAGACCAAAGAAGAAGAAAGAAGAAGAAGAAAGAAGAAGAAGAAGAAGAAGAAGATGTACACCAGCAAGACAAATGACAAATCCCCCTTCTCTCTCCACTCTCCACCTCCTCGTTGTCTCCACCAATCTTATTCTTCTCCAAAATAATAATAATAACAATGAGTGGTCGAGCCAGAATCAATATCCGAAGTTCCCTCTTACTGCCAACTTAACAAGAGGTCCACCATAGTCATGGCCTCCCTCTTCTTCTTCCTCACACAGGCCTAGGCTAAGGTCTCTTCCCTGCTGTGCAAAAGACAACGCAAAGCAGCTATGGCCGCTGCTCTTCAGGCCGCCATGCCTGACTCTACCTCGAAGCTTCCTTGGTGCGGCACTACCCCAACTTGGGCCTTTCAGATGCAGCGCCTAGCAAGGTGATGAAGATGGTCTCCACCATAGCCAGGTAGGTACCTCGCCACTCGCCTCCTTCGGCCCCTTCTTCCTCCTCCTCCTCAAGCTGGGCTGCTCATCATAGCCAGGCAGAGCGGCCAGCACTCCTTCCTCCCAGGCAGCGCTCTGAGAGCCAGCGCTCGCTCCAGCAGCACAACGTCCAGACTTGCATACCGCAAATGAGTAGGAGCTACTCGCTCGTCCAGAAGATATAGTGGCCTACTTGCCTCTTGGGCGGTGACTTCCAGGCTGCGCAGCCTCCACGCAACCGGTACCTCCTCCCTTTCGGAGGGAAACATCATTGCAGGCTCTGATATCGTCCGCACAGGCCCTAGACTCAGGCTACTTGGACTGGTACCCACATACCTCTAGCCTACCGCTACTGGGCCTCTAAAAATGCCATCTTTTTGTCTTCTTCTGCTCGGCCTCCAGTTCCCGACATATCTACCACCCACTACCTGAGTGGTACTGGCCTACCTGCTAGTCGAGTGTTTTTCTCCCGCTGCCGTAAGTGTCGTGGGCCTACTACTTCCCGCTACTTGAGTGTTTTTTCCCGCTGCAACCCTCAAAGCCACCTGCGGGCCTCACCACACAAAGTGCCCTGTCGGGCCACACACACACACTCAGGCAGACATGCACTCAGACCGGCACACGGACCAGCAGGCACGCACACACACACGGACTTAGAAAACTCAGCACAACGCGGGAATCCCAGCAAGGCGCACATTCCAGCGGCAAAACCCAGAAATCAGCAGTGTTCTCCGTCTGTGTTTTGCCGGGTCATTGCAGAAAAAACAAAGGTTGGTTCCTTTCCCAGCTAATTTGTTCCGACGCAGTGGCTAACCCCCCACAAAAAAAGTTGGGGGTTCAGCCCAGCAGACTGAAAAGGCTGGTGGTGACAGGCAAAAACATGCAATTTTGCGCTTCTTTTCAGGCGCAGTGCAGAAGTCCGGGTCGTGAAAAAGAGGCTCGGATGGACTGGTGGTCTAACTTCAAGAAATGTAAACCACTAGAAAGCTGCACATACACACATCCAGACACACACACACACACACACACACAC